ATGGTCTAACGCCACCCGGGCACAAACGAGTTTGTGGTCCGCGTAGCCTACCCAGTGGAACGTAGGGCAATCTAGTAGATCTATGTCGGCTCTTCTAACTAACATTCTGTCAAGGTAGCTAACTACCTTGTCAGACGGCCAATTAAGAGCCCACGTCCCATTTTCCCCGGGATGATCGACCCGGTATCTATCGACGAGACCATAATCGTCGATCAGATCAACCAGGCTACGATCGCCCCTTCTCCCACTAGCACCCCGCCCCGTCTAACTTGGGGTCCAGGATGGCATTCCAGTCCCCCATTAAAACTAGGCGCGTTGAATCCACTAGGAACGGCCCCAACTGCCGAAAAAACGAGACCCGCTCCTCCTGGTCATTGGGCGCATAAACCGCAACGACTCGGAACGAACCACTTTTCACGGCAATATCGGCCACGATCAACCGGCCCTCGGCATCGGTATGCACAAGGTCCACCTTCGCATCAAGAGTCCGTCTGACAAGCAAAGAAACTCCTCTGGCAAACCGACCCCCATATGCTGAATAGACAACAAAGTCATCCTCCAGCACACACGCATCGGAACTGCAAATAAAGTGGGTCTCTTCGATCGCGGCGACATCTACATCCAGGGACAGAAGGTCCCGGAGCAGGCGGGCAGCCTTACCCCGATCCCTTAAGCCCCTCACATTCAAAGTTGCTATCTTGGTTTCCATCTTCTAAGTCCTGAAATCAGAAAGCAAAGAATTCACCTACTCACATACAGGGAGGAAATCTTAGTCAGTTAGGACCCCGACGGAATGTCCTAGGCTTCCTACACCTAGCTCTGACGTCATATGTCCATCTAGGACAATTCCGCCGACGTCCGTGGGGTACGTTAGTTTTAAGCACCTATATAGTGAGGGGTGGAGAATAACAGGGACCCTCCCTGCACAATACTGGCGCATTTTCTTTAAATATGGAGACTCCATCTCGGCAATTCTTATGTTGGCGAAGGCTTCTTTCGCCTCATTCAGGTGATTCCAAACCTTTAAAGGGCCCCCTGTATCCCTTATACAGGTAGTAACCCCTGGGGCACCTGGAAAGTTACGGGGGTCTTCCATCGATCCCCCCACACACACACACACTTGTTATTTTATATAAGAGTCCAAGTTGAACCCTCTGTCTGCCGGACTGGCTCTTTTTATACTCCTCCTCCTCCACACTACAGATTTCTTCCGGCCCCACAAAAAGTCTTTTCTTTTTCTTCCTGGTTGTTTTGGGGTCAAGGGGAGAGGGATCAGATGACCGTTGCGGGGATGAACCCTGGGAAGTATTTGAGGGAGATGGGGACGGAGCACGCGAAGTACGCAAAGGGGAAGAAGGGAGACTCCTTGTTTTGGGAACCTCCCCCTTTTCCTTCGGGTCAGCAGGGACGGAGGTGGGCCTGGTTTTTTCCACGCCCTCCTCCGCCCAGGATGTTTATCAACTTCTGTGTCTTCCTCGTCGTCCTCTCTGCTTCTCTTTAAATTGAGACCGATTGGCTCTATTCGTCCACGTCTTTATGGATTACCCAAGATTCATAAGAAAGGTGTCCCGTTGAGACCCATATTATCGATGATTGGGTCTTCACAGCATAAAGTCGCAAAGTGGCTTGCTATATTGTTGCAACCAGTGTTGCAGCATTACAGTTCCTTTTGTATTAAAGATTCGTTTTCTTTTCCCAAATTCATTCGGAATTGTGATGCCATGATGGATTTATGTGTTCCTTTGACATCTGTAGCCTCTTTACTTGTGTTCCTTTATCGGAGACTATTGATATTTGCAGAGATATGTTATATCGTAGTGATTTGACTCCTCCGAATATACCTGAAGAAGTGTTCGTTGAACTCATGAAATTCGCCACCATGTTTGTCGATTTCAGTTTCGACAATATAATGTATCATCAGATCGATGGTGTGGCGATGGGTTCCCCTTTGGGTCCTGTGTTGGCAAATATTTTTGTGGGTTTTTACGAGGAAAGCCTTTTGTTAGTTTCTGACCGGCCCAAGGTTTACTTTCGGTATGTGGATGACACTTTTTGTGTGTTCAGCCATGAATCGGAAGTGGATCAATTTTTTCCCTACTCAACAGTGTTTATCCAGCCCTTAAATTTACAGTAGATAAGGAGGTCAATGGTTCATTGCCCTTCTTAGACGTTCTTGTTCAAAGAACTCCTTCCTCGTTTATTACCTCTGTTTACAGGAAGTCTACTTTTACAGGATTATATACTCGATGGGACTCTTTTTGTCCTAAACGACAAAAGATAAATTTGATTCGGACCCTGACACATAGGGTGTTAATGATTTGTTCGGGTGACACCCTGAAGGAAGAAATCAGTTGTTTAACTGAGATCTTTGTGAACAATGGTTATCCGTTGAACATTGTTCAATCGGTCATTCGAGATAAGACTGCCAGGTTCAACAAAATCAAACCTGCTTCAGTGGGTAAATGTCCAGTCTGTCTTCGTTTACCGTGGTTGGGTAGGATTAGTGAATCCTTCGCTAAGCGTATTTCATGTAGTTGACGTGAGTGTTATTTTGCAGCGAACATTCGTGTTGTCTTTCAAACTAAGTCCGTACTTTCATCTATGTGTAAAGATGTCCTACCCACCACCATATTAATTCTGTTATTTACCATTTCAAATGTAGTTGTGGATACGACTACATAAGTAGAACAACACAGCGGTTGGACGTTAGAATTAAACAGCACGTACCTGCTATAATACTGAACAAAATATTTTCTTTGGGCGATACCATTCGTAACACGTATGGGTCTTCGATTGTGGATCACTTTATAAAGAATCCCACTTGTGCGATGGATTTCAGTGTGAACTGGTTTTCCGTTTTGGCCAGATTGCACTCATTATTCCATCTTAAGGCGTTGGAGACGCTTTACATCAAGTCCAGGCAACCTGCTCTTTGCAAACAAAGAGATTGTTTGTTTGGACTTGCTGTGCTACGCTTCTAGCATCTTTGTTGGTATAATTTTTATAATAATTTTTTTTCTCCCTGTCCACTCATTCATGTCATCCATGACAGACTTTTTCTTTTTTTCTCATAATTTTAGTTCCCCGTTAACAGTTCTGATGAGAGGGGACGAAACCGGTCGACTGGTGTGTGTTTTTGTTTTAAATCTGTCATGGCCTACAATATAAAATTTCTTACTTTTTATGCCTTAATACGCTTCTGTACTGTTTCAAACATATTTAAATATATATATATATATATATATATATATATATATATATATATATATATATATATATATATAACTGCATCTAACCGCAGATTATTTATATGGGTATGTTTGTATGAACTAAAATGCATACACTTCTGTGTCTATGTATGTGAGAGTGTCATCCCAAACAAACACAGAAGAAAATTCTCCCCGGCACCACACAAAAATAACCAAGGTCAACACTGAGTGGTAACAGTTTGTTTAATGCTTCAGTGCAATCTTCAGAGCTAAAGTTTGAATTGAAGCATAAAACAAATGTTGATCTCAGTGTCCACTTTATATATATATATATATATATATATATATATGTGTGTGTGTGTGTGTTTCTGTGTGTATGTGCGCATAAAACATTTCACCACAAGTAAGGTAATAATGCCACTAAGATGCGAAGAGTTACTTTACAAATTCATGAATTATTCATACAAAAAACAAATACAAAGGTTAATGATTTAATTGGCGAGAAATCCATCGTCGCGAACAATTCAAATAATATACAAAACCCCCGAACCTGTTATGAATGAAAAGATCCTTGTTTTTATAAATTTCTGTTGCATTAGTTCTTATTTTTGCTACAAGCTTTCGTCTGTTCCTACAGACATCTTCAGGTATGGAATAGATGTTGTTCTTGTTTTTACTCTCAGTAATAAGAGGACAACGAAAATATATGTATTGTTGTATCCGAAAAATGCTATTAGAAATGAGTTATTGTTTTTGGAATAACTCATTTCTAATAGCCTCTTCCTCTCTTTTTCCTCAGGCTTTCAGCCTTACCATCTCGCAGATGTGAACGCTCACAGAGGAAGCGTTTTCCAAATGCTGGGAACACGCTAAGCACACTACACGTACGTACGAACACTCACCACACACACACACACATATATAATATTCACACACACACTCTGTCCATGTAACTTGTTATTAATACATAATATTTGTATATATATATTTATCGGTCTTGTGTTTGTTTTTCTTTGCCTTCTTTGGACTTAATTAAAGTCCAACTTTCTCATGTAGTTGGTCCGGCTAGCAGGAAAATCTTAACCCCACGTGTTCTTCTACTTCTACTCAACATCACAGCCACGGTCCACTACAAACACAATAATTTGGAAATACTTGTAAAAATCAAATAATTGTCGGATTTTAATGAAACTTTCAGAACTTATTAAAAAATGAATTAAATTATTTTAGAAATGTTTAATGACTTTTACGAATAATATATATTAAGGAAATTATTGTTTGAAACCAAAATCTTTTTCGATGAAAAATGAATTTTTAAAAGAATTATTTTCTGTTTTTTCAATTTTAAATATAAAATGTGATAAAAAGTTTATTAAATATTTTATAATTAAGTTTGAAACATATTTACAACAATTGCTGGACGCGAGTCTCACGTTCGAAAGATTTCGATATCTCTGTTAATTGTAAAACGTAATTAAATTACGAGTAAACAAAGAATTTTGTTTACTCGGTTACAACACGTTTTTATTTTTAATACTGAAAGTAAGATAAAAACGCCGTTCCTGGAAGTTGAAAAGGAAATATCTACAGTACACACGCTTCTAAAAATCTATTGGCTATTGCAACTTTGAAGTGGTGAATAAAAACAGAAAGTGAGATGAAGCCAAAAAAATTCAGCACAGCTTCGACAACAAGACATCACGGATCAAGATTCTAAAAGAAAAAGAAAGTACAATGACCTGCCGCTTTTTATTATTCTACATTTTCCCATCTTTGGTTTCTGCTGCGATAATGAGCGAAAAACGAACATCGTCAGCTGCTGATATAAACAAAATAATACAAGATGCTAAAAGTGTTTTTTCAAGCAACATTGTTGAAATTTATGCCTTCAAAGTAAGTTAAATTAAATTCATTTTAATTTCTTTTGTCAGTTTTCATTTTTTTTTTAGTTAATGTTATTTTTTCTTTACTTTTTTTTTTTTTGTCAGTTTGTTGTTTTTCTTTTATTGGAATTAAAAAAAATGTAATTAATACTGAAAGAGTTATTTTTTTTTTTATATAGAAATAATAAAAATACCAAAAAGAAAATGTCGCTGTTTATTGTTGGAAGTCACCGTTCGCGTTGTCATTATCCAGAAAGGAAGAGCCTCGCGTGTAAAAAAAAAAAAAAAGATCCTTAAAAAATTTCCAAACCCTTCATTTCTAAAAAAAAAAAAAAAAAAAAAAAAAACATAATCAGTAAATTCTCGGAAGATAGAAGTTTATTAAATTTTATTTACTTATTCATTCCCCGATGTTTCTGCTTAAGAGTAAGTGTTAGTATCTGTTCGTGCGCGTGAGCACACTCACACATTTCGTTTTTTCAGACATAATTCATGATTTTAGTTTTTTTAAAACGATCTGTCCAGTGTTTAATGATTGTTATTTATTTTAAATTACAATTAATTTTATTCGTTTTGAAACTTCCATCCAGAAATTTGTAGTTTGTTGTTTGTTTTGCAGGTTGACTGGTACAACAATTTGGTAGCACCGAAATATAAACTTGATTACAAAAATGACACAGTAGCACTTATCTTCTTTACCATTCCATATGTCTTTAATGAAAGCTTCATACCGTTTTTGTGCAACTATAAAGAAATGGTGGTCCACAAGTCCTGGGAAAAATTTATCCACTATAACATGGAAAAGGTGCAACAGATGCTAAAGAAAGAATATCATTTGGTAATGTCACAATTTTACTTTTGTAAACATTGTTTGTGTGTGTGTGTGTGTGTGTGTGTGTGTTAAAATTTGGTATATTTATCAGAGAAGTTTTTTCGCTCACTCTACCTATCTATTTATGAACTTCTCAAAACCTATGAAAAAATAAAAAATAAAAAAGACCAACGGTAATGAAAATGTACAATTATGGTGTGAAATTGCCTGATTATTTCGAAAATGGTATTCAGAGTTTGCGCTCTATCACCGTTTAGGACTTATGTACAATGTAAGTTCGACTTCTTTCGCTTCGTGTCGACAGAACGCCTGCCATTACTGGCTTTGTTTACATAAGTTTGCCTCATGTAGTCATATTCAGAAGCGTCATCACTTGTCTTGATTACTATGCGATACGTGAAGTTTGAATGCACGACTCCAAATATAGCAGTAAAAATGAAAAAGCGAAAAATAAAATCAAAATTATGTGACTGAAAGGGAAAAAAGTGAAATTTCCTTTTTTTTTTCGACGATGTATTTTTTATTTTTTTGAATTGCATCGTGAAAGATTCCTAAAAAATCCGAGAATTGCAAAAAAACAATACTTTTAATTGGGAAAAAGAAGTTCATAACAATTTAAAAAAAAAAAACTATTCATTTAAAGCTTCATTTTTAAAAAAATGAAAGCGCATTTTAAAATAACTTTCTCGAAAATTGCGCAGTAATCACAACGAGTAAGAAAATACGAAAAGCTGTAAAAAAAAAGGCTGTTAGTAAGTAAGCTTCCGCGCATTACTACCCGAGGCAAACGTATGCAAACAATACCACGCGAAAGAGATCGAACTTACATTGTCGATAAATCCTAAACGGTAATCGAGCGCAAGCTTGTAAATGTCATTTTCGAAATAATCAGGCAATTTCACACCATAATTGAACATTTTCATTACTGTGAGTTTTTGGTGCTTATAAATAATAATATACAAAAAAATACATAGAAAAAAACTAAAAGTACCTTAATTTGAGAGGACGCAAAGAGCACAATAATCTCAAAAAGAAAATGCAATGCCACCCCCCCACACACACACACAAAAAAAAAACTACTCTAGAGCAGTAATACGATGAGCGATCTTCAAACTCTTCTCTGAATATTGACCATTGTGTGAAAGTTTTAATTACGGAATGGGAAGGTTTTAAATATTTCTACGACACATTATCTATCTATCTATCTATCTATCTATCTATCTATCTATCTATCTATCTATCTATCTCATTTAGTTTGTAAATGCTATTTTCCTTAAATGTTGGGGTTACCAATGTAAATGGTGTTTTTTTGAAAAGATTAATGTGGCTGGGTGTTGAAGAGCATTTAACATTTATACATCTTTTAAAATCAAGGAAAAACAATGGAAAACCGATTTGTGTTTCAACGATAAAATATATATTAAAATCAACAAATACAAAGCAATTTTTGTAATGTGTGAATAATTAAGAGAAAAAAGTAGTTTCCCTTTATCTGTTAGTTGAATTAAGAAATGTAATTAAGTAAGTTTTCTGAATAGAATGTTCAAAGTTCTGTATTGAAATAAAATGCGTATTCAGAAGAACATACCGTAAGTTCAATTGTATATTTTGTATAACAGAGCTGTTGCAACTTGGCTTGTTCACAAAGAACTGATGGTGAATGATATTCAAGTTCTGTGTGTGTGTGTGTGTGTGTGTGTGTGTGTGTGTGTGTGTGTGTGTGTGCGTGTGCGTGTGCGTGTGTGTGTGTGTGTGTGTGCAGAGTGAGTAGAATGAATAGTCTGTGTAGACGCGTGTGAGTAGTTGAGTTCTACTGTCTTTAACTCTACTGTTTAATTTGGGAATGAATCCGGACTTATATTATTACCAGTAGGCTCCCAGCACGAACGCGGAATAAATTTTGAAAGAACACGAAAAATATCTGATTGGATGAAGAATTAACCAATTGGTGATTTTATAACAAAAGCATGTTTGTGAATTAACGGTAGGAAAAATTCAGTGTGGCGAATGCGATCAGTAAATTGTCCTGTGATATTTAGTATTTATTATTTGTCCAATCACAGTTGAGAAAAATGTAGGCGTGGCAAACATAGTAGTAATCAATACAAGTTCATATCTATCTATCTATCTATCTATCTATCTATCTATTAAAAATCCCATCAGGCAATAATGGGTAAGTGAATGACAAAATTTTTCAACTTTTTAAATTTAAATTCATTTCTAAATCAATTTAATTAAATAGCGGCAAAAGTTTGAGCTAAAAGACAACAAACACAATTGAATTAACCTTACCAGTTTTAAAAAGGTATCGAAATTTCAACTAACACCCCTAAGTATTTCTACAAAGTTTTCTAATAAAATAATCTATTAATTAATTCATTAATGCATAAGTGCTGAAAATCTCCTTAAAATCAAATAATCCCATAATTTTTTAAATAAAATAAAAAAAAAAAAAAAAAAAAACACTGGATAAAGTTTTTTGGTTTCGTTTAAACTTTAAATATTTACATGGCAGTCTGTGGCTTTGAAATATAACAAACATCAAAAAAAAAATTTAATTTTGACATCCGATGTGTCTCTAGGTAGAATGTTTAACTTTGCTTATTTTATTCAGCTTTTCATCGTTACTATTATTTTTAATCTCACATTCTTTCAATTATTGATTCATTTTGTGAGGAAAGACGACGAAATGTTGTGTATTATTTTCCTGGTCGCATAAATTTATAATTGTAGACTAGGAATCCGATATTAGTGAGTTTTTTTTTTTTTTTTCCATAAAAATCGATATTGCAGTTGAAATTTAAACTTCAATGTTACAGAATAGTATAGACGACTAATGAATTGAGTTGAGTGAGTGTAATGATTCATTGTTTTTTGGGGTTTTTTATTTTGCTTTAAAAGATCACTTTGGAATTCCTAAAAACTAAAGAAAACTATGTATTTCTTGGGACATTTTTTTTTTTTTAGTATTTGTAAATTTCTGCACTTGGCTTTTTTTAATATAATTTTGTTTGTGTCAATTAATTTGAGTGTGACATTTACATACGTATCAAAATGAATAAGAAAAGAAATGTGTGTTGTTAGTCACATTATTAGACATGTCGTCATGTGACATTATTATTACAATTACTACATAGTTTGACCGTTATGTGATACATTTTAGTAAAATAAAAACATTAATCTTCCTCTACCATCCACAGAACAGAAGCTCGATAGTAAAGTAGTTATTTTTACCAACATTCTTTCCCTCTACTTTTGTCGCCCCTCCCTCCCACATACAATGTAATTGCGCAGTACGGAAACATAATGGCCTGTCTGGTTTGTTTACGTTGTTACCCATCCCTTGTATTTCAGGGTTTGTTTGTTTTTGATTTTTGTTGTTTTTTGTATTTTCCTGACACACTTGAGAAAAGTATTTTGTTTGATAAAACTTCCTGTGACTTATGTTAGTTCGTCTGTCACACCCTCTGAAATAGTCAGAGATTGGCCGATCGAAACCAAATTTTAGGGAGAAGTGCAATGCAAACTAAACAGGTAAAAGGGTACAAAGCACAGGTTGTTTTACTAGGGTGCGTAGCTTACTACAATAAATTTTCATTAACATTTTTAGAAAAATTACGTTTTATTATTTAACATACAAAAATGTTCAATACTTCGCTAAAAGCATACCCTTATGAAACAAAAGGCCCTAAAATTTATTAGACAATTTTTCATAAACGTTTTTGTCTTTATTAACAAGAAAGACCAAAGTATTTTTTTAAAATTTAAAAAAAAAAAAAAACTAAGCAGGTCCAAAATTTTAGTTAAAAATCTTGTTTTTTTGAGTCAGCAAAATTTTCATAAAATCGATCATGTCAGCCATTTTTAACAACTTTGTAAACAAAAGTGAAATTCTCCGTTTAAAAGTCTTGTAAAATTCAATTATACTTTTTCCAAGAAGTTATTTTAAGAAAATTAGAAAATTTAAAGTTTACTTAATGAAATTGGAAATAAACTATACTTATTTTTTTAGAAGAAAAAAAAATAGTTGGAAATAAGAGAAGCATGTCTAACCGTAGTGATTGGTTTTGGAAGTGTGAATTGACGTTTTACGTCAATGTATTGACAACTAACGTCAGGGCAATTTAATGGATAGAAGGACAGAAGTGATAGTATTTTGAAATTTTAAGTGAACCAGCTTATTTAACTTAACTTAAAGACTTAACTTATTTATTTTAACGAAGATATGCCCAAAGTCTGCACTGTTTCCATCCCTAAAATTGAATCTAAAAAAGAGAAAATAATAATAATTGCAGTATATCTCTTACTGAAAAAGAAAAAAAAAAAATTAAAAAATTTGAAAATGTGACGATGATGGTTGGCCAGTCAGAGATTTTGACACGATTTATGAGGAGAAATCACAATCAGGAGAAAACAACTCTTAAAACACGGGAGATTATTTATGAATTGTGTCTCCGTAGTTTTGCCGGAAACGTTTTAATACATTTTTTGGCATATCAAAAAATTATTTTAAAAATAGAAACACTTAGCAGATTTTAATAAGCTTTCAAATTTAAGATCAGTAAAAATAGATCTTTTAATTAGAGCATTTTCAGAGATACACATATTCAAACTTAATTTTAAATTATTTAACAACTTTATCACGTTTTGTATTTAAAATTGAAAAAAAAAGAAAAGAAAACAGTTCTTGTAAAAATTCATTATTCATTGAAAAATATTTGGTTTTAGACAAAAATTTCATTAATATATATTATTATAAAACTTTATTAAAAGCTTTTTTTTTTAATGAAATAATGTTTGGGTAGAAACGCTTCTCGATTTACAAAAAAGAATTGATGATTTAATTACAAAAATATACATATTCAAGTTTTTTTTTGTTTTTTTCGAGTTTTCATAAAATTAAGCAAGTGGGTGGGCTAACAGATATAAAAAGATATTTTACCATGACTTTCTAAAGGACAAATTTCTAAAATAATTTCATTCATTTTTTAAAAGGTTCTGAAAAT